GGTCCATCTCAGTCTTTAGAATAAGAACAGCTTGCTGCAATGGGAGGTCAAAGCGGAAGCCATCAGCATTAATTGGTCCACAGTATAATTAATAACACGCACACCTGAAGCTATATGTTTCAAGTGAAAATACAGTTAGCTTAATATCCCGTTGTGAAACCAATAATAGTAAAAATAATTTATTCTACATACACAGTGAAAGTAGATATAACGGTTCGTTGATATAGCGCATTTCGCTTAGTACGGAATTTTTTCGATAAACGAAGCTTAATGGGACATTGTTCAATATAACGGAATTATAACTGATTGTCACGATATAACGGATTCTGTGCCTGTGCCGAGGAATCCGTTATATCGACTTTCACTGTGTACACACTTCTCCACCCAATAAATCTATGTTACAACTCATGTTACTACATTTACCCTACCCTATGTACACACTACTCTATGTACCCAACGCCCGAGTCACAAAGTCGTTACCTGGTTGAGAGGTCGTCAGCCTCTTCATTTCTCCCTTCCAGTATCCTACATTCGTTTTCAACTCTTCTTCTTCCTGCTCCAGCTGTTCCTTCTCCGCTATCCACCTCCTCCTCTCTCTCGTTTTCCCAATCTTCAGCCGCCAAACTTATCCTCAGATTTCTTAACCTTTCCAACTTCCCCTTAGCTTCGTCATGCTCCTTCTTCGCGTCATCGTATGGTGTGCTACATGTTACTTTTCGCTGATCAGTGGCTTAATCAATGACGTATTATTAGGAACTTTCTAGACCTTTTCATAATTGTAACTATTGTTCCCCTGTATGCAGAATGTGACCAATGATAATTAATGCGCAGAAATTCACGCATATTAATGACGTTTAGTTCGAATATCGTGGACTCAAGAAAGGTTTGCTGTAAAAAACGACCGAAATTATTTTACGAAATGTTTGCTCTCACAAGTGAATTTATTCTTGGATTCTTGATCGGAATTATCCTTGGATATTCAATGTCAATGAATGTATAATTAGTTGGTTAACGATGGCTGTCGTCGAGAGTTTAGATGTATTCTTACTGACTGCTTTAATACAGGCGAAAGTGAGGTTAAAGCTATCGCTGTCACCGCTTGGGGGAGAGATTAGACTAAGAATTGTGTATTCTACTTTGTTTCATCGAATTTACCCTTATTTTTCGCGAATAAATTTCTCGAACTATTAACAGCTTTTAACACCTTCTTGTTGAATTACAAATGTCTTTACGTTTTCTAAACTTTTCAGTGCCTCATGGACTCACTATTGGGGTTTCCTTACTATTATCGTCAGTTTCTTCATCGAGTTCTCCACTAAATAAAGAATAATATCATCACTTTCGGGGATGCTCAAAAACGATATCTTCCGCTGAAAAAGACAGACATTCATCTGTTGTCATTGCATCAGAAAAATTCAACCTCACAATGGACTTGGACAATTCAGTAATTGTCTCATTATTCAACTTGAGTTTCATTTCCGATTGAATTATTATCATTATATTATTCGGAATTTTTTGAACGTAATTTGTTAATACTTTTCCGACATTTGTTCCAATGATCTTCTATTTCCGTTGTGCTTTCGCTGGAGAATTCGATATTCTCTGAAATGTCCTCGACGTTCCATTTGAATGATTAACCGTTTGCAAATAATGTACGATCTCTTTTTCGAAATCCATCTGTAAAATGTATATATTTAGTAGGGAACACATTGGTTAGAGATGTCTCAAAACGTAATGCTCTCCTCAAAGAGAAACTAAATCTGAGTGAACTGGCTTGACATAGTGCTTTCTGGAAGGAGTATGCTACAATGAGGATTTTGTCACAGCGTCAAAGAGGGTATCCTTGCAATATCTACCATGCATCGGCTGCATGGGGTCATCGCAAAACATTATTGTTTAGCTCGGCCAATGCAGAGATAGGAAACACTATGTCCAATATACTAAAGACAAGACGAAGAGGTATGCTACAGTGAGGATGTTTGTCACAGGATAAACGTGCGTCAAAGAAGGTGCTCTCGCACTCTTGTCTCTAAACAGCGAGCCGCAGGGCTCATCACTAAGCGTGAATGCCTAGCTGGTAAGCCGGATATTGTGTGCCGCCAGAAATAATCAGAGTTTTTTAACTTTCTTTCGTCACACGGAAATGAACACGTTTACTGCGAATTTTTTTGACGATTACACAATCAGAATAATCTTGCCGATCAGTCGAATATCGACATCACGAATCTGATGCGATGAGCACACTACATTTGCTTGGCATCTGTTAGTTTAAAACATAAGGTGCAATTTCTCTCCTTGTGCTTTTTTAGAATGCTTTGTTATAGTGCTGTAATTTTTGGGTTTCATGGTGGATTTAATGTAAATTAGTTTCATATTAATATTTTTATATAGAGGTAATCCTATATTAATCACGGGTCCGTATCATTTCACCGAAAATCATTTTACCGACGTAATATTTCACCGACAACCATTTAGCCGAAAATCATTTCATCGACAATCATTTCGCCGACATATTCACCAGCATTATTTCGAAATTATCCTTTTTTGGTAGTCGTTGTCGGCGAAATGATTGTCGATGAAATGATTTTCGGCGTTATGATTGCCTCCCATTAATCACATTATGGTTTATATTTTCATTCTGATATGATAAAGTGAACATTAAAATTAAGTTATGAATGTACCATTATTGCTTTTCAAAAACGCCATCAGTCACATTTACAGCCATATCATAATCAGCCACTCATTTATGTCACATAATGAAATGTTCACTTTGTCTGGTTTTTGTTGCAGTCTGCCCCATATAATATAGTAAGGTGATTATATTCGATTTCAATTGTAAGGAAATAGTCATTTCCCTTATTACTTATCGCGGGTTTAACAGGTGGATCAGATACAGAAAAGGCAAAAAAAAGTAAGATTACATTTTGCAATTACATATCATTGGTCGTAACAGCATTCTTGATTACAAGTCTACGAATAGATATAATATTTTTTAATTCGTCTTCAGACTCAGAATCGTAATCTTGGTCAGCTTTTCTATACAAGTTTTGAACCCTTTCCAATCTCCTGTGTTAAGAGTTTATTGATAGCTTGATCCAACTTATATATTGCAGTTATAATTTTATCAATAGCTTGAGTTAGCTTGCTCTTGCAATCTTGCAATGTTGTCGTTGCATAGTAATAGAATATTTAATAAAAAAATTAATTCGCGCTCACGTTATTTTTAAAACAAATCATTGAAACAGACTCGGAACCATTACATCCACAAGCAGAAGGGTGCGGGAGGGTTGGGGGTTGAGGGAGGGTATTCATGCTTTTGAGAGCTAATTTCTAAGTATTGCGGTTAAACAACGTTGCATTGGCCTGGTGACATTTCGGAAACGAAATTTATGAGCGCAAGTTACCTTTACTATTATTGCTTATTAATTTCAAACTGGTATATAAACAAATATTTCATACTCAATTTGGAGCGTGTTTTTGATACCCTAAAATATTATTCCCACTTTCAATAAAAATCCTTCTTGGCTATAAAGTTAAAAAAGATGGCAAGCTGATTGGAAGTTATTGCTGCTGTTACAATTGAGTCTTGATATAACGACGTGGCATTTCGTTATAACGACAGAAATTCTATAGTGATGCTTGTTCGTTTACTTCAACATAATAATGAGAATTAAATATTAGAAGCAGAAAAAATAGGTAACAATGAGAGTATTTTCATCCTACTCTATTTCCATTTTTTTCTCTAATTTTTTTTTTGATAAATAAAACTAAAAACTTTTTTGTAATTGTGCTTTACCTCCAAAATTTTAACAATTTCGGGAGTAAATTTATTGCTAAAACTCTTTCAATTTTGATTTTATTATTTTCTGGATAGCTTACGCGACTCTTATTAGGTCAAGCAATCTTTCTAAGGTTCTTAAAATTCAATAATAATACAACCGGAAACTGCATTCTTTTTTTATTTGCTTGAACTTTTCGTTTTTAAACAGTTTTTTATTTCTCTGTTCAATTTCTGTTGTTTATTATTACGTTTACGACGCACTTTATTTTATTTTATTTATACTTTCTTATGATAGGATGTAAGCATATTATAGTATAGGATAGATATCCAAACACTCCCAGACACCATCGATAGTTTCATAATAACCACAAAATACTGTAAAATCAAATAGTGGCATTATGTGTATTTATTTTGATCACCGAATCAGCGTTATTACAAGTAATCTTTATACTGTATGTTATTCTCTTTATTCATCGAATACGTGTCAATGTACCGTCAAGACCTTTACAAAATCTCATCGAGAAACGCAATTAATTTGTTCTCGTACTGTTTGGCCTTGAATACCAAGGAAATCTTTACTGATGGCACAACGTACCGATGAAAGAATAATAAAAGACTGCTCGAGTGCATTCGATTTTCATGGACACAATTTTATTACAAGTCAATAGTTTCTATTTTATTGTTAATTTTCGCCTACTTATTGCATGGTATATTTTATCGCTTCATAAGCTTAACTCATCACTTATAAATGGGGAACTGTGTCTTATCGGGGAGTAGGACCACAAAGACAAGTGACTTTATAGCGAAGCGGACCTTTGAAGGAGAAATGGATTTATTACGCCGTGTTGAAATTTCCAAGCGAGCTATCGCAGATTGAGTTTTAATCACGAGAATGACTTAACATACATACGTAATAATCAACCCAAAGAAGAGCTTCCCTTGACTAAGAAGCATTTTCATCACAAAGGTGTCTTGCTCAACTCTCCCTTAATAATCACATCGAGATCGCTAAGGGCAACCCTCGCGTGATATCTCGTCAAATCATCCTTGTCTACGCTTTCAACATAGTTCAGTGTGGTGTATGCGCGTTTCAACAGGCGACCATGAACCTCGTACAAAGTGCGAGAGCCAAGACCACGAAAAAGAGAGATGAGGAGTGCCACGCATGCTGAAAGGGTATGGAGAGTTGAAAAGTATATAACCAATATTCAAAATTGCAAAGAATGAGTGGAATAGAAACAATAACAGCGGCAAACCGTGATTTATAAAAGATTGGCATACCACGCCGTATCTCGGGCGCCTTCTCGATAGCGAGAATGTTTAAAATCCAATCCACCAGATCTTGAAACCAGTTAACGAGAGCAGTCGAGGACGTCTCGCACGCGCAACCGATGATCGACAATGCTGACATTCGAAGATTTGTGTTTGTATCCTTGTCGAGAATTTGCAAAAGCGGCGGAAGCAATATCAAGACTAATTACCAATAATGCAATTCCGTAAGATAACGCTCAGAAATGACTACTATCCATGACGTCGACTGATGAGACTAGTATATGCGGTAACTCACTATATTTTCCAAGCGCTTCACCACATCTTTGTATAGTCTGCAAAATAGCTTCGCCGATACGTAATCTACTATCCATCGCTTCCTTCGGATTACTATATATGTCCATTAACTTTTTCATTATCTTTTCTCCGTGCACATCCGTAAGCGAAGACAACCCACGGACTGCATTAAGGTAAATAAAGCTACAAAAAGGCAGGCAAGAATAAATAAGTCTCTTCGCGCATACGCAACATTGTTGTTCTATTATACCTTTCCTCTTCCTCAATCATCTTTATAAAAATATCCAAGACGTGATCTAAATTATCGCCTTCATACATAATGGGGTCTCGCGCAAGGATCATCTCTTTAAGCATCACTATTCCCCGTGCACGAACGGGAAGGATGGTATCTCTTAATGCTTCGAGCGCTTCTTGATATTTTTTTAAAGATTGCTGTCGCGTTTTTTCTGCGTCATCCACGGGTGAAGTAAGACTACGCACAGATATAGCAATACACAGATTTCGCGACATTTGACGGATGTCAGAGGACCAATGGTTGGAAAACTTTGCGAGACGGTCGGAAAGAAGATTTAGAATGTGATTTTCCTGCTTCGTGAGGTGGGTGTTTTCTAGCAATTGTAGTTCGAGTTTGGGAAGCCACAGAAAGTCAGAAATGCAAAAACAACAAATTAAGAAAAAGTTAATAGAACTGCCCGCAACATGCTACCTGCTAGCAGAGATGTCAAAAGAGTCAGAGCCAGGGCCAGCGTTTCGTCCTCTTCTTGTTGATCCATCATTGGTTCTTCATCTTCATCACTATCTTCTTCAATAACAATGATCGGTGTTTTACTCGACCTATCACTATTTGGTGCAGAGTTACTAAATCCTTTCTGCCCATAATTTTCCAAAACGTTATCAACAAAAGATATTATTTGTCCAGGCTTTTGTATAATGGTCGAACCCAGACAGTCAATCATTGCAAGGATGAGATGAAGGAGAGTAAGAACTCTGTCCAAAGTACGATAATGAGTTAAAATGTCGTGCCAACAATGACGTGAGCACAGATACAAAAAACTCGTACCTCTTTGTTTGCGTTATTCGGACGCGATCGTTTTTAACGGCTGTATATTCGTTCAGAAGATACATAAAGATGTCTCCAGACAATTCGTTATTTGCCAATGTTTTGAGGAAATCAATAAAAATGTCAACGTCTAAATAGGTCACTGTGGGAGGTAAAACCCCTTTCGAGCTATATTAAGTTTCCATTAGTATTTTCGACATTGCTTGTATTTGAAACTAAATTCACAGTCTTGCTCACAGTCTTGCTCACCTTCTTATCCGCATCTCAATTCCCCCACCCTCGCCACGAGCGAAATAGACCTCGCCAACCTCCCCGACATCCTTGGCTTCCCTCTCCTTCCCTCGTCTAAATACAATCTCCTTTACCGCATTCAAGTCTCCAACGATTCTGAAATATGCCAGTAACACATCTCTAAGACTGTCCTTTAGCCATACTTTAGTAGTACACGCAAATGCGTACATATAGTAAAGGGGCGCAATTATATCACCCAAAAACAGTTTCAGAGTCTCTGGGGTAGGAGGTTCACTACTTACTAAAACACGATAAAGGACCATGATAAGTGACGAGATGGTTTGCTCAGAGGTCAACACTGGGTCGAGAAGATCAGATTGAGTTTCTGTCTCGGTTCCAATTTCAGTTTCAACTCCAGTTCCAGGCGATAAAGGTGTGCTCCACCAAGAACGCAAAGGAGAAAATAAGGGTTCAATTATAAGAGATTCGGTGATGGTCGGATATCTAACGGACATCTGGAGGATTGTGAACGAGATTACTGTGATGCAAGGGGATGTCACTTGGTTCTTTGGGAGGCTCGTCTGCAAGATTTTAATCAGCTGAGGGGAAATTGTTGAAAAATATTCCTGTTGAATGCCATAAAGCGGGAGCGTGATAATAAAACGTCAGTATTCAATGGACAGATTTCGTCTTTTGCAAACTATATCCAAAAGAAAAACCAATCACCTCAACAGAAGATGCTTGGCTCGGAACAGATAAAATCAATTGAGAAATTTTTGCCATCTTTGTCGGGCTCACTAATGGCCAATCGGTATTCTAACGCGTCAACACACAAGGCCCATCTTGCTCTTCCGTAAACCATTAACAGAATTATACCTATTCTTAGAAATCAAACCTTCGTTCTCGCCTCCAACCATAAAATCAACTACCGCTTGCACACCATCAGGTCTCAGTAATACTGATGTGAGTAATTTGCCACAGACAGCCCTGAGCCATTTGGGAGCTGAATGAAGAGGAGGAGAGCCAAGAAGCGTAGTAAGAGAGTCTAAAGAGCGAAAAATGTCAGCTCTACAAAAGAAAAAGTGGAACGAAAAGGAAGCAAACGTTGTTGTAAAATCAGTAAGGGTATTTTTGATTTCGACGACGCATCATGTGTGACTCTACCTCGTAAAAACTTTGTTAAACAGTTCTTTACTGTATTGGCGAATCTCATTCCGGGTCTTCTCATTATCATTCTCCAAATTAGGCGCATACGCTAATTGTAGCAATGCTGCATATAGATCCGTCAGGTGCTTTGCAAACAATATCGATGATACCGTTGTATAAGTTATTGGTTTTGTGGAGGAACAGAGGGCTATTTGCGTCAATTTCTTTGCTAAAACAAAGAGCCTTTGCTGATCTGGCTGCTCATTCGATTTCAACGTAGACATCTCTGCCAAAAAAAAAAAAGGTCAAATTCAAATTCTGGTCAATAAGTAAATAATCAGTCACTCCCAAGAAAAAGATCAAGGATTATAATCTTAAAGGTTATCGTACGAAAGTTATCGGATTGTACAAATCCTGAACGACTCCTTTGTCCAAGTGGAATGCCGACGCCTTTCAGAAAAGAGGGGTAAATTCCCCAGCATACAACGATCTCCAACATTGTATGAATCAATCTCATGTCCCGTATTCCCAACAGTTCTTTCGCATCTCTAGAGTCTGCATCGTCTTTTACGTATATTACAAACAAAACAAATTTAGTTCGTTTTTTGATTTATTTAAGGGGTTGATGCACTTAAATTTATCCAATTGACAAAACGTTAATTCGGAAATTTCTTATTAAATACCTTCAGCATCGTTTATATCCCGAAGAATCGATTGGATCGATTCAAGTGTTGATAAGCAAGTATCAACGAATTGAGTGTAAGTAGTGGCATCAGTGGTTGTGGGTTGTTGGGAAGCGGGTGGAGAAACCTTGGTAAGGCGTCGAGATAGCGTATCCTCAAGCGAAGCTCCTGCGATAACATTTTTAGTGAGATGGTTTAGTAGGAAGGATTGTCTTCATGGTGCTAATTACCTCGTGTATCAGACTCTGTCTTGCCCGCCAAAACGTCTGCGCGAGCAAGTAATTCGCGCAATTTTTTTCTTTCTAACGAGTCCATGGGAAATGATATCTGACACTTTTAGTGTCAGAAATTTATTATTATGCAACACCCCCGCAGTGTAACTGTTTAAAGTCCTGTGGAACCATAAAGTCGAGTCAACGATTCCCAACTTTAGAGAATTTGGCGATATCAATTGATAAAGAATGTATACAATTATACGTGAATGAAGTTACTTGTAGCTGTCCGCTTGTTCGTTAGTTAACAGATACTTAAGACTAGTGTTACCAATGTTGTATCCTGTAACATCCTGGAAAAGGAACAGAATAAATGTATTCTTTTAAAGACAATACAAATGGTCACCTCGGTAATATCATTTTATTCCCGCTGCATCGTCATCTGTTTCTCAGTATTATTTCTTCACGGTAAAAAGCTGGTCAGCTTCTGTATATTGTACCGAGTTTACAAGAAGTGCTTTCTCTAGCAAAATTACTGTATACAATATAACGGACTGTCTAATATTACCATTCATAATCAGGGATTATTTCTTCAATACTGAATGCCTTTGATCTATGAGTGTCTGCTCGGATAATAAAATGATTAATATTACTCAATACATCATTAGGTTACTGCGATCGAAATACTCTTACTGCTCACATGGTCAAAAGTTCTGAATAATGAGAAACGTTTATCCGATGACCTTTAATTAGTACGCGAAATAATCCCCAAAAATTCAGGACAAATCGGATTGTTCCTAATGCTAATACTAAAAGTGCAGGACCAAGTGTAGGAACTACATTAACCACTGATTGTGCCGAAATCGACAGAAACCGGTTTATGCTAACGAAGAGGAAAGAAAAAAAAAGGAGCTGCATAGTCGAATGCAACGCTCAACATCAACAAAATGACGTAAAATTCGATAACACAAGGTAATAACAATAATGACTTTCGAGCACAAAGACGTATGATCCGATTTCTTTGATTCAGAATGCGTAGCAAAATGTGCACAATTTTTCGATATAGTAATACGCGAGAACCTATGACATGAGAAAACATTCAAAGGCGTATTTTAAGTGATACGCAGATGCAGAATGATATAGAGACTAGATAAAGAAAATTTGCGCTTTTTTCCGTATTGCCAAATCGAGGCATCGTTCCGGAAATACGCGCGAAGGCAAAATACAAAGAATAGATAAAGAGCAAATTCTAGCTTTGACGTGTGACAAAGCGGAGGGATGTAACGTTACAAAGCCAAAGTACGCTATTCCTAATGTGTATCTTCGGCAATAAACTGGTCATGGGATAACTGCGCATATGAAAGTTGTCACACTCGGCACGATTAGAGTTTTTTTTTTTCTTTTCTGTTTCTCCCAAATTATGATGTCAATAGGTGATATGACGACACTATACTGTACACAATTTGGAATATCAATAACAATGACGTCAAAGAAGCAAGCATTCCCCAAGAATAGCAAAAGGTAGCCATTCGAAATCCTTCACACAAGATAGAACAATTTGGGGCATATGCACCCGTAAGCACCAGCTACTATTCAAGGGGGTGAAGGTCCTCCCAGTCTCCAAATGTCGTCAGTTTTATTTTGGTCTATCAACGATGGCGCAATGGCCCAACAAAACTCTTTGTTTTCCAGGTGGGGAATTTTGACCCAGCCTTCTTTTAGTCTACAATTTCCGCACAACAGAATTAATTTTTCCCAATTACCATCACATAACCCACAATAAATAAACATTTGAGCTCGAATTGAGTGAGCGACCCAAGCAATTTCAAAAAAATATCTTCTCCATTGTACTCAGTTCTTTTTTTATTTGTTCACCCGAAAATTCTTGTTTGACAGTAACTGAACGAGGATCTTGTTTATCTTCTTGCTTGCGCTTGGATAGAATCGTCTCGATTTGAGCAATTCGATCTTTTGATTGCTTGCGTAGATTCTCGCGTGACTTGCGAATCACATTCAGGTCAATTAGATTGATTGCTGCCCAGAGCCGTTCGAAAAGATCTAGTGACTATAATTTGTACTTACTGCTTTTTTGGCTTCGGCTTTCTGCTTCTTGGCTTTTTGCTTTGCTGCTTCAATTGCCTTTTTTCGTTGCTCAGTCTTTCGTTTATGGAATCCCGTTAAATAATCTCTGCCAAGGAAAAAAAAAAAAGACAAGTGAGCTTTCGTTTGCGCTTACAGATTCGAATCCTCTGCCTGCAATTCGTGGGTCGTACTCACCTTCTTGCTTGCTCGTCAAACACAATCTCTTTCACTTGCTGAGATTTTCGCTTGCGCTTTCGCGCGTAGATTTTTGGACCCGCAGAGAGTACGTTCAATGTGTCCATTACGCAAGACAATTTTTTTTCTTCGACAGAATTCGATTGTGATGTCATACAATATGCATTATTACATTTTCAATGAGAGTTCATGTGATTCGGGTAACGTTACTCTGGTGTACAAACTCCCTCATTGGATTGAGTAAACAGTCGGAACGGCGAGGAGATAGCGACAAGATTTCGGGTTTAACGGTGTGTGACTCATCATGAAGTATAAACGTTAAATACGACTCTAGACTTAATAGCGTTAGTTTCCAAAATGGTAATATATTTTTTCATGTTTATTTCCTTAGACTTGTCTATAGTTAAGTATAATACAAGAAATATTATTTGTTCATAGCTTTTCATATTTCATTAGTGAAATAAGCGAAACAAAAATGTCTATACAATTCTATAAGCAGATTGTGTACATAATTACAAGAAAGCATAAGATAATATGTCAAAACAACCAATTTGACCATGCTTCATTTTCTCCACTGTCTCGTAATCACTCTGTGGATTTCCTGACTCCAATGTCCTCGAGATTTGGAAACAAACGTTCCTGCACGTTATCTTCACTTTCATCGTCACAACCGCTCTCGTATAATAGAACGTCGTCGGAGATATTTATTTCATTTGTTTCGCTGTTGTCAAACCGTATTGTATTCCTTAGTTGTGAAATAAACGTTTCGGTATCGGCCTGGAAGTTTTTCGATTTCCGCCTTTGCGAGTGACTTACGCACGACGAAATAGTCTTAAATAACGGGGTTGATATTGTTCGAACGGCGGAATATGTGCCAGTATCATTTGCGTCCATGGGACTAGCGATGGCGCAGATATCACTACTTGGTGTGGGCAAGGTATTGCTTGGTGAGTCCATAATTCAGTCGGATAGCGAAAATTACAAGTTTTTAATTTTTGTTTGTTTTTATTTTTCCTTTGGAAAAAAAAAGTTGTAGGAAGGACAACAGAATATTTTCATCGAGTGATCCTTAATCGCCCTTTTTATGTTAAATTTCGACTGCGTCATCACCTGCGCAGAGTTGCACCCCAACCACTGTGACATCCTTTGTGTATACCCTCCAATAACAAAGAATGCAAAGTAACCTACGCCAAGAGGGCAGTCTTTGTCGAGACCCAAATTGTGAAACTACTGCACTCGGCAAGTGTTGACTGTTTGGGAAGAATGTTTCACACGTGGCGTACTCGTGGTTAAGAATGATTTGGTGGGTTGTCTTCATATGGTAATTATACGGGTACAGTCAAGGTGACGTATATGCAGGTAGCCGAATGGCCGATCAGAAAGCTTACATATTCTTGGTTAAATATCTTGGTCAGTGGTCTCACATGATCGAAAATCGGACTAGTTAGTCCGGATGCAAAGAAAATTTCTTGTAACGCATTAAATCCTCTTATTATTATAGACACACTATTTTTCGCTACCATATATTGCCATGAATAGGTGTACACAATCTCGGTTGCCAATTTACCTCAAGTCCTGATACACACAGTATGTTACCCAAAAATTTGTTTGAAAGTTGTTCGAAGGAATGATACGATAGATAAGCATGTCATGTTTGTTATTCTTTGGCTGGCAATCCATGTCATGACAACCCAACCTCTTAGCATTAACCATGTTGTGCAAGTTCATTGCATGGTAATGTTTTTAATTTATCAAATTCGTTTGACAAAGGTATTCCCCACATCAGCTCACCATCTCAATAACGCTTTACTCACAATCATGGCAGCCGAGGAATTTTCTTATTGAAATTTGGCACAACTGCTTGTTGCTGTAATATAATATCATATAGTACAAGGAGATGTATTCTATGAAATTATTGTTCCATAACCGTTGGAAAGAGATGGTTAAAGGTCAAACGTTAGCGAAAAAAGACTGCCACTGCTGCTGCTGCTGCTGCTGCTGCTGCTGCTGCTGCTGCTGTTCTGATACTCCTCCCGCTTAATCTTGTACTGTAATATGACTTGCGTATCAATAACAAACATGTGTTGGAAGCGTACAAGTGATGTAGTTTTTTGTATAGACACAACAATATTAGTTGCTACAACATAAGGGTTATTCTAGCTTGCAGAGAGAATACAGAAAACGTTCATACATCTAATAAATGAAGTCACTATTACAGAAAGTGAGACTAAATTTGGCGTATGTTCATCCATGATGATGCCACAAAGAATATTCGATCGGAATGTGTCACCTGCGGTTCATGTTAGCTAAAGACCGTCAATATTAGAAAACTCAGCATACGTTGTTAAAAATAGTATATACAGTAGGCAGCGCAGGCTTTATAACTAGATCAAATCCCTTTAATGATTCATTCTCTCGGATATGTAGTGTGAATAGCTAATCCATATACGATTAGGAACATCCCTGGATATTCAGTGGAATGCATTTTAGATAAATACAAGTAAAATCCAACGTACAAGATACCGAATAAAAGGGAATACCAAGGGCGAACATTTTATTCGCTTGTTGGGTTAAAATGAGGACTCTTTCGAAGCAAAATGCATCGTATCATGCATGGTATATCCATGCTAAATCTCAGAAATGAGCTATTCATTATCGGACTCCTCGCCATAATCGGCAGTTCATTCGCTTAACGTTTTTCTGCTGAGGCATGGCTGCTTTGGTAATTTACCAGTACGGACATTTCACTAATGAATTTGCTACTTTCAAGAATTTTAGTTGTTTGGGAATTTCTAGACGTAAAATTTGTCTTCTTAAATAGATTTCGACTTTTTTGAATGAAACGAGTAATTATTATCTTGGTTATGGTCAGTGTAATTGGTATGTAATGGGGACCGGGTTTTTAAAATGCGAGAGACAATAAGTACTTTAATACAAGTTTGTTTTGCAAGTTCTTAGATTCCCACGATTATTATTACAATTTGTCAATTTTGCTATTAAATAATAGTAATAATGGATGTCCAATTCTGAAACGACGCTTACCCTCAATGTATCGTAGAGCATTGAGTATAGTACCCCGGGTACGGAGGGAGTACTATTTCTAGAGGGATACTTTGAAATTCCTTCACATAATGATGTGATTGGTCAATTTATCATATTAAATTTCATCAGAATTTATCTCATACTAACGCGAAAGGTGCCGAAGTTGGAATGCTTTAGAAAACTTGCCAATCATTTATATCAGGAGAAGGTATGTAGTGTAAGATTCATACAGTTCATGGTTTTCAACGAGTTGATCGTCTATTAACTTTGTTTAGATGAAAAAGAGATATTGTGATTGGATGGCAAATGAAAATAAAAGAGTACGCTCGTACAGGAAAAAGTCAAGCGACCCATCCTATGAGACAGTTTGTCAAAGCATCTTGGGGAGATGTTGATACAGTCCTAATCAGAAAAGTCGTTCAAGTGTTGCGGTATTTCTGTCAAACGGGACGGAACGGAAAACGATTTGATTTTTAATTACGTCACAGAAGTTGAAGATCAAACTTCGGGGAAACCCTCCGCTTGTTAACAACCATAATTAGATTGGGGATAATATTATGATGAGAATGAATTGAATTATGCAAGTCTTTGGGATAATTAGTTCCTGTATAGTGGTTTTTGTGCTGAGATACTGTATATCAATGATAAATAATATTCATACTGCTGTATGACTACCACAATATGATATTTGTACCCGGGTACATTAAGGGGTACTATATTCAGCGCTTTACTATGTCTTAAAGATTCTAATAAGAAAACTGGGGCGATTTTATGGTATTTAAGACTTAACCATTCAGGTTTAAGCTTAAGGTGGTGCGAGTTATCAACCAAATTTGGGCTAGATCGTGTGAAATTAACAGGCTAGCACTATGACGAGACATTTCGGAAAAGTATTTTGTTAATTGGATCTCTGCTAATATTTATATGCCCGGAGAGAGGATAGAAATTTTGGTCTGTTTATCTCTAGTGTAACACCCCATTACTATTGTTGGCTTAACACATACGTTTAGTAATAATGAAGACCGAATTGATCAATATTAGTAACGCAAATTTGTAAAATTTACGGTTAGTAATATAAGTGATAGACGTTATTGTTAATTAATTGCTATCAGTTATTAAAGACTAATATTAATCAAGACTAGTCGCCGTCTTTAAGTATAATTGACATGAATGCTACTTGCTGAATTCATGCGTAGTTGTACTAGTCGTTTAGACAAATCCTTTCTTATGCAAATCCTCCAATACTTGTTTATTGAAATAATATTAGTTTTAATGCTTGTCTTTTGATGTGTCTATGATCACATCATAGTAACCCGCAACGTTTTTCAGTTCATATTCTATTGTGATTTGCGTTCTTCTCTACTAGTATCTACGATAACGCTCCATTATTACGCCAACGTTCTTATTGTTTATGAGACGGTTTGGTTTGTGATTAACATGTGGGAATTTGGGGGCTAATCAAATTGTTCAGACCATTAATATCGCGGGTAAGAATGAGATCGCATAAAGATTTAATTTCAGGGCATGACCCCTGCAAGCGTACAAGTTTTTTGTCGATGTAATCTTAAATATTATCTGTGTCAAAGCACAATGTCGTAAATAAGCACCCCCCGAATAACCTCCCATTTCGTCCATCAAACTAGTTACTTGTAATAGAATTGCATGCACGCTCGATCGATCTGACTTGCAGTTAATTGTTTAAAGTGTGGTGTAAAGCGCTTGGAATATTAAAGTCGTTTAGACGAGAACTAGTTAGCTTTATTGAATAAGACAAAGATCTTTTAACATATGTGTTCATATCTTATTCAAATGTTTTTCCGCCTTTTCGTCATTAGTATTTTCGCAATTTGTTTTAGTATAGCTAAAGCTATTAGATCTGTATAGAATAATCGATATACTTTTACCAATATGGTCGTAACTGTATTTCATAAACTTAAACTCGCTCGCAATATCATTTTACGTATAGTTTTGTAACTTGTATCAGTTAACGCTTATTTCTCTGTTTAGCAACAGTTTTGCCGATTTTTGTCTCTACATTTAATTATTGTAAAGGCAAAATAACGTCAAGATCAAATACTAAAATATGTATGTGCAAAATTTTATTCAATTTGGGTGCAAGAAATAATTTAAACGCAATATTAGTCAAACGAATGTAAATGACAATACGTGAATACAAAATTTTTATGTTGTTACCTGTCATTTTTTTTTACAAGCAAACGACATCTCGATCAAATTTATTCTTTTTCAATTGGTGGTGCTTGGAAATGCGTGACTTAGGAAAAGCAAAAATTTAGGTCACTCTGGAATTCGGAATGGACATGTATGTCAGATTGGAATCATAAAGAAAATCAGGTAACAGCATTATTTTATTGACATTAAGATATTACCTCGACCGCATATAAATACACAGAACGATGTACCTCATTAACATTACTGCATTGACGATTATGAGAGAGGCAGTTTAAGTTACAAATGACAGCAGCTTTGCGACAAGCACATCGAGCCGTTGCACAACTAGTCTTACAACTACTCCAATCTTGGTTAAATTAACCAAGCTTTGAGCCGAAGGTGCTTTATTACTTTGCCAAAATGCATTGAGTTAAAGGATACGTTAAGTTGGTAGTTTTTTCACTTGTAGGCAAATACAATTGTGAGTAGACATCGCCCGATCTGACATATCATCGTGAAAGAAACGTTAGTGTATTAGTAATAGTAAAATCGGATCAAGACTTAACCATTTAGGCGTAAGCTTAAAGTGGTGCGACATAAATATTCAAATGACCTACGCCGGCAAAGATAGCTAGTAGGAGACGCGCACGATTTTATTTCAGTATCTTTTTAACTCAGCCCAACATTTTAATTTATTTAAACGGAAGAGGAGTAAAACTTTGAATTATATGTTTATTCAAAGGATG